TGCATCATTTTCGTTGGAGGGTGGTAGGATGGAGGAGGCAAAAAAGGCAATTTGAGCTTTTATATCAAATTTGGCCCAGAGGCAGCTCAGGTACGCATAAAGTTGCGTCCAATACCAATTCGCTGTTTGGGCTTCCCTTTTTGGGGCGCAGCCTCTGGGGCAAGCCCTTGGGATTCCAATCCCGACAACTTTTTTTGCATTGCGCATTCCGTGCCGCTTGATTTTCCATATCACCAAACCAGAGTACGAACCACAGTTACCAACACGGGCCACAGCTACGGGCAGCTGTTACTGGCCACGGTCGATTTGGTTTCTGTCGACATTTTTCAGGTCCGGAGCATGTTCAGCAAATCCAACCTTCCATGTATGCGGTGGTTGGAACGGTATGGGCGAGCTACAACAACAGTACATGGATCGCTCAGCTCGGTGCGTCTTCTTTCCACCACGCATCTACGAGTCTTGTCGAGGCAGAGCACGTTGTACATTGACCTCGATGAGCGAACCATCCAACGCTGTTGAGAACTTCATGACCAACTTTGGCTTCGCAGCCGGCCTACCCGACTCGATAAAATATATTTTAACATGCCGCCAGCTATGTCCGGGCAGGCGGATACTTCAAGACCCCAGATCCAGTGAACCCGGTTTGATATGGAAAATCAAGCGCCACGGAGATGCGCAACGCAGAAGATGTTGTCGGGATTGACTCCCAAGGGCAAGCCCAGCAGCTGCGCCCCAAACAAGGCAAGCCAAACCAGCGACTTGGTATTGGACGCAACTAAATGCGTTCCAGAGCTGCCTCTGAGCCACCTTGGTCCAAGTCGCTCACTTTGCTTTTTGCCTCCTCCATCCCACCACCCTCCAACGAAACGATGCAGCTTCTCTTCCTCTCGACGCTTCTCGCCGCCCTCTCCATGCCGACGGCCGCGGTCTCGGTCGGCGAGTGGCTCCAGTGCGGTGGCATCGGCTACACCGGCGCCACCACCTGCACGGCAGGCTTCACGTGCAATGTCGTCAACAGCTACTACTCGCAGTGCCAGCCCAAGACCGTCAACACGAAACTCTACGTCCCCCGCTACGGCCAGTGCGGCGGTATAGGCTGGACGGGCCTCACGACGTGCACCGAAGGCAGCACGTGCGTGTTCAACAACCCCCACTACTCGCAGTGCCTTCCGTGATCGGCCGTCGCCTTCGCAAGCTCGCAGCTGTGTCCCACACGACCATCGACGCCGGACTTGCTACTTTGTATTGATCACAATCCAAATGACAACATTTTGCGTTTAATCATGACCAGTTAACTTCGACGTGTTCAAGCAACCCATTCCTCGTACTAAAGAAAGATACACACAACCTGTCTGGACCAAGGGTTAGGTACAGCGGGTCTGTCGACAGACAGTATAGAGTTCCAACAAAACGCCGTACGTGGCCCAGAGCGCTGCCACATCGCATCCGCCCACGGCGCTGGCTTGCACGGAGACAATGGTGACCTGTTGGCGCTCGTCACCAAGTGGAGCCTAATGTAGAATAGGCGCCAGCCTTTTTGTGTTGAAGAATGTGCAGACTGCAGGCTTGGGAATTGAGCGAGCAGGGATGCTGATCGAGTAAACACAATGTTGTTGCTAACTGGAATCTGGCACTGGAGCCGACCAACAAGACGATTGCGCTCCAGCTCAAGACGACGCGCGAGGCGCTCAAGACCGCGGTGAAGCGAACGCCGTCAACGAGTGTCCCGGTCACCGTCACGGTGGCACCCACGGTCGCTCCTACCGTCGCTGTAGCCGAGGTACCGGCCGTCTCCACCAACGAGGCACCGACCGCTCCCACTGGCAAACTCCCATTGCCGGTTGCTGCGCCGCCGTCCACGAAACTCACGCGGCCCAAGATCAAGGTGCTTGTACCGACCAAAGCACCGACGACCTCGTACGAGTTTCAACGTGTGTGGAAGTCGTTCCAGCACACCGACGAGATGCAGCAGCTGCGACGAACGTACCTTGGCCGGCTCCAGGTCGCATCGCTGCCCAAGCTCTTTAAAGATGCGGTCGAGCCGGATCTGCTGCTCGAGATCCTCGACGCGCTCTCAGTCGGGATGGACGCCAACGCTGTGGCGCTGCTGATGCACTTGGCGCGTGTCCCGCGCTTCGACATGGTCGTCCGTTTCTTCAGCGGGGACGAGCGCCAACACGTGGCTTCTGTCCTCGCGCAAGCCAGCGCCGTCGACGGATGCGATGCGGCGGCGCTCAAGGCCGCGTACGGCGTGTAACTCGCCAACTCGTGTATTTTTTCTGTCGACCGACCCCGCTGGACACAGTCTTTGCGTCGGAGGAATGTCTGGATCGGCGCAAGCTGTAGACATGGACCACTCGAGTGCACCGCTTGTTTGGGCATGGCCTGCGTCTTTCGGTGTTGGCATGGTGGGACACCACGCGTAGCATGTGGTATGACAAGAAGCGGTTAAGGGCACTACTGTATTGAGCTTACGGTGGTGTAAGAGACGCCCGAGTGAAGTCGCTCTACTAGCCGTCGATGGGGCGAGAGGGCATTTCAGAGATCGGGCGGCACTGCGAGTAGTGCTTGTCGCTTGCCTGGCAGTAGCTGCCGGCGGTGCACGTGGTGAGGCCCGTCCAGCCTTCGCCGCCGCACTGGCTGTAGCGAGGGACGTACTTGTCTGTTTCGACGGGCAAGGGCAGGCACTGCGAGTAGTACTCGGTGGCGTAAGCGCAGCCAAAACCGGCTGTACAGTTGGCGGGCGTCCAGCTTTTGCCGCCGCACTGGTTGTACTCGCCGGCGTCCAGCGCGGCGGTCGGCATCGCGAGGGCGGCGAGGAGCGTCGAGAGGAAGAGAAGCTGCATCGTTCTGGGAGGAGGCAAAAAGCAAAGTGAGCGACTTGATCAAGCGAGATCGCATCAGCGAGAGAAGATGCAGGCGATCGGTTTGGCTCGCGAACGTTGCTGCGGGTTGTCGACAGGATGCGCGAGGGTGTGCGGACAAAGATTCCATGTCCACCTACTTCTCGGCCGCTTCGTTGCGTGGGTTTGTTGCCCTTTACGTCAACCATCACATCTTGTGAACGGAAGCAACTCTATATGTCGCCCTTGCATGGTTTGAATGATCTGCAGGCGCATGGCAATAGCGGTGGGCTGCCATACCGGTACGCTTCTTCTGCGCTTTGACAAGACAACCACGCCAGAAACGTACTACTAGGTAGTAGCTCCAGTGCGTCTTGCGATCATGCAAGGGCAACAAACCCACGCAACGAAGCGGCCGAGAAGTAGGTGGACATGGAATCTTTGTCCGCACACCCCCGCGCATCCTGTCGACAACCCGCAGCAACGTTCGCGAGCCAAACCGATCGCCTGCATCTTCTCTCGCTGATGCGATCTCGCTTGATCAAGTCGCTCACTTTGCTTTTTGCCTCCTCCCAGAACGATGCAGCTTCTCTTCCTCTCGACGCTCCTCGCCGCCCTCGCGATGCCGACCGCCGCGCTGGACGCCGGCGAGTACAACCAGTGCGGCGGCAAAAGCTGGACGCCCGCCAACTGCACAGCCGGTTTTGAGTGCACTTACGCCACCGATTACTACTCGCAGTGCCTGCCCTTGCCCGTCGACATGGTCAAGTACGTCCCTCGCTACAGCCAGTGCGG